CACCAAAAAGAATGCCATAACATTGGAGGTGATGCTCCTGCCCCGGGCACAGACACATTTTTCTTTTATTTCTTTCACTTATGCGACTGGAGAATTTCAGCATTATTCCTATAATTTTTTTGTGGAAGAAAATTTGAGCATTTGTCTCAACTTAGTAGAGTTGGGCATTGTTTTGAACTTGTGAGTTTCCAGGATGTTCTACATATCCAGAAGGCAATGAAGCTTTTCTGTAAATGAAAACATGAGTCAGCTAAAATCACTCAGATGGAAACCAGTGCTGGCATTTGGTTTCTATAACTTAGCAGATCTTACTAGTCCCTGGCTGCTGGAACTCTAGGCTGTTTTTGAATTATGTTATTGCAAACACAGATGTGATTACAATTGTCTTTGTGATTATCCCAGAATTATAGTCCAGTAGCAGTTTCTTCTGATCCCACTGAAGAGATTCCCTGGGGTTTTATTGACTTCATAAACAAATTCTGTATTGAACAAGGGATTCATGTTCAACTTTATTAAAATTTCAATCGCTATGCTGATGTCTATGATGGATACTGGTCTGAAATTCAACTAGTAGCTAAAAATGCTAGTAGCTTCTCTGTCAGTAAATGCACCATTTCCATATGAGTTTTAAATTTGTTCTAATGAATGCTTGCATGCTCACAGTATGTAGATACGCTGTTAATATATATTAAACATATACACATTTTACACACACAGCAGCCCTCTGAGGTCATATTAGGTTTACAGATAGAAGAAAATGTCACAGGGAGAATAAAGGGCTGTCCCAAAGCTTTTAATCAGTCCCTTGCTAGAGCTTCAGCTCTTAACTGCATCCATCATTCCATCTCTGGAAATAAACACTGCAATAACTGTTCCTTGTCAAGTTTACATGTACCTGTTTACGGCAACTGTGGCTGCTTTTCTGATTATATTCTTGAAGCTATGTTGTCTGATTATATTTTCGAAGTTTGTTTTCTTAACCAACGCTTCTGGGGTGAAAACAAAGGAGACATTAATGAGAGTATTTTACATTTTTATTTACATGCTGCATATCATGTGTCCTCACAAATATGCATTAAAATAACTATTATGTCTTAACTGTTGAAAATTAAGTCCAAGTGTCTACTATATCAGTGATTCTTTTCATGTTTATTCATCAAAAAATACAAAAATTGATGGTTGTGTTGGTTTATACCTATAATCCCAGCACTTGGATATCTGAGGCTATTAAGTATGCAAAAAGCTCTTCAACGTCATTAATAAGAAAAGCCACATAAATTGAAAACATGAGGCACTACCATAGTAGTGTCTTGGTTAGGCTACAAGGACTTCTCCTGGTGATGCTGAATAAGGCCATGAAGCAGGTGGTGCTCTCCTATCTCAGTGTGGGATGCTGCTATTACAGTCCCTCTGGGAAAAAGGTCAGCGCCTTCTTTAAGATGAATATACACTTTTCTCACATCCAGTGATTGCATTCACAGGGAGTTCCCCATGAGAATTGAAAGTATACACAAATATTCACAACTACATTTTGATAGACTTAATTAGAAAAGGATAATACATTTTTTTGTTTCATTGAGGTATTATTGACAAGTGGAAATGGTATGTGTTATGTCGAATAGGTCTCTGCTTCTTGACTGAACCTACTGATATAGCCACAACACTGGAAACAGTGTATGTAGAACAAAAAATGATGACACAACCACACAGCGACAGCAACAATAACAACCAAGAGGCTACCAGTATGCAGTGCATGGGTGACTCACAAACGTTACACTAAGAAATGGGGAGCAAGATTGTATATAGGATTCCATGTGTATAATGTTCTGAAGAAGGCAATATGTCAGGGACAAAAAGATGACGGTGATGCATAGGGATGATGGAAGGGATTGCCCACAGGGGCCATAAAGGGACCTTCGGGGTAGTAGAAATGTGTTGGGAGTTGATGATGGCTATATAATTTTCTCTTTATAAGAGTCAATTTGATAACACATTATAAGTGAATTGTGCATGTACAGAATAGCACATAATATTAGATTAAATATTTTTATTCACAGTAGTGAACTACCACAGATAAGAGCATTGGTTGTTCTAGAGGACCTGGGTCCAATTCTCAGCACTCACATGGTGCCTTAAAACCATCAGTAACTCCAGTCATAGGAGGTATGACACCTTTTTCTGCCTCCATAGTCACTGCATATATGTGGTACACAGAAATACATGCAGGCAAAATAGTCAAACGCATAAAATAAAAATAAAATGAAGGGTAAAAAAAGAACAGTGAGATGGGCATAGTAAAACATGCTTGAGATGCTAAAATAGGAATAGTGAAATATAGACCAGCCTTATCTATCTATCAAGACTATCTGAAACACACACAGAGAGAGAGAGAGAGAGAGAGAGAGAGAGAGAGAGAGAGAGACACTTGTAAAGACTTATAAAGTTAAAATAAAATAGTAGCTCAAAATGCCTCTTTTTTTTTTTTTTTTTCTTTCCCCATGACAACTAGGTAACATTTCATACTCCATTCATCCACCTTGGCCAGAGCCAAGAATCATGCTCCTCTTACTCTTTCCTGAAGTTAATGGGCTTGGCAAAGGTAACTTAGAAAAAAATTTAAAGTGTAGTGTGTCATCTTTGTTGCCAAGACCATCCTGTACTCTATCTTCTTTCCCTTGGGCAGAGCTTGCAAAATGGTTATTTGCTCTACAATGTGGAAGAACTCAGCTAAGAGGAGATCTGATATAAGGGAAGGGTCAGGACATTTTCTTTGCAATTCTTAATGTAGGGACAGTGTCTGACAGCTGGTGGCCTAGAGCTAGATCACTGATGGCAGCACAAGACCTTGTCCTACGCAGCTGTGTGATAGTCCTTTAAGGGCCAGGACTGGGAAGCCTTTACAGATGTGATTGGCTCAGAGCCCCATAACTGTGTGGATGAGCAACATCCTCTGAGATGACATGGTGACATCCTCTTTTTGTGGCCATGTTAAGTAACAGAAGTTGCAGGATCTTAGCAGCCCTGTGAAGTCATAGTTCCTGACGCTATCAGAGCTGTCTTTTACCAATTGTTCTGCTGTGTGCTGGGACTCCCAAGGTGGCTGCTCAGGTGTACCTCTGTATTGATGCAAATCTAGTTGTCTGTCCTCTGTGGAGTGGCTCCAAGACACTGAGACAGGGCTGGAGAGGGAGGACTGAGGGAAGGCTTAACAGGCATTGGTTGCCATCTCCAAGTGTGTATGGAGGATGTACTGTTTACTATTAGATTTTTTTGTTATAAATGCTCCCACATGCACACATGTATAATGTATACCTATACATTGTATTTTAGGATTTATTTTTAATTGTATGTATATGAGTACTTTGCCTACATGTATGTCGGTGCACTGCTATATGCATGACCCAGAGAGGCTAGAAGATGATGTTTGATACCCTGGAACTGAAATTAGATATGGCACGAGCCACCATTTGGATTCTGGGAGCCTAACCTGGATCCTTTACAGGAGCAGCCAGTGGTGTTAATGAGTGAACCATGTCTCCAGCACCAGATACACTTACCAGATACACATTTCATTTCTGTGCTACAAGGGCAAATGGGAGATCCTTCATGGGATGACTCCAGGAGGTTGCAGGTAAACACCCAGCTCTTTCACTTTGGAATTCAGGTGGGAGGTGATAAGGCTGGCTGTATTTGGGGACCCTCACTCTATAGCATTTTTGATAGTATATATCAGCCAATTGCTCTTACATCCTTGCAGTTGGGTGTGTGATCCTGGATCCAGAACCTTTTGTATCCATCTTGGGCTGTTTAGAAATAAATGTACAATAACAGACCTATTGCCCATACTCAGTGTATTGACCTCTCCATATTCAAGGATGGGAAGCCATGTGTGCTATTACACACATCTTAGAAAGATTTAACATGATCAGTTCATTAAAGGAGAGGAAGTCAATACTAGAATATATGTTCAAGGGCTAGAGACATGGCTCAGCAGCCAAGAAAGAGCACTTGCTGCTATTCTAGAAACCCCAGGTTTAATTGCTAGCATCCAAGTAGTGGGGGACCATCTGTAACCAACAGCCCAAGGAGATCCATCACCCTCTTCTGGCCACTGTGTAGGCACTGCATACATATGGCACATAGACATACAAGCAGGCAAAATTACACATACACACAATTTTTAAAAATAGAAATAGCCAGGAATAGTGGTTTACTCCTTTAATTTCAACACTCAAGAAGCTGAGAAAAGTGGATCTCTATGAGTCTGGGACCAGCTTGGTCAATATAGTGTGTTCCAGACCATCCAAGGCCATACCATGAGACCTTGCCTCAAAACAAGCAAACAAAAGGAATAGTGTTAGTGTAATATTATTACTGTTTCAATAACTTTTATTGTTGGTTTCATTTCACCAGGGGATGAAAGTTTCCAAAGAGATAATGAGAAAAAATGAAAAACAAAACTCCATGCTGCTGATGCTCAAGAGAACACTAGGATCCAGGAGAGGCTGATATCAGAAGAATCCACAAATGCACTCAGGAACTTTGAAAAGCAAGGCTGTGAAGACCACCACCTCTCAGAGGAAGGGTGTGCTGCTAGTTCTGGTTTCAGGTACTTGAACTATATACACTTCATTGTGTCTTTTTCTTTACTAACATAGCAGTTATGATGAGAATGCCTTGCTCGTGACAAATAAAAATTTCCAGAAAACAAGCCTTAAAAATTTATGTAGGATATCTAGAAATGAGCCTAACCTAGGATTGTGTAGAGGTGATAGACCTCTACAATGAAAACTTTAAATGTCTGAACAATGGAATAGAGAAAAAACTAGAAAATGGAAAGGCAACCTGTAGTCATGAATTGGTAGAATTAATATTTCAAGAGTGACTTCTTCCAAAAGCCATTTATAAATTCAATGTTATCCCAGTCAAAATCCACATAGTTATTCATAAAAGTAGAGAAACTATTCTAAAATTCATATGGATCCACAAAAGACCTCAATCTAGCCAAAATCCGTCTGAGCAAAAAGAGAAATGTTACAGGAATTACCATTTCAGACATCAAAATATATCACAAAATGAAAGTAATACAAATAATGATACTGGCACAAAAAGAACATGTATGCCAATGCAATAAAATTAAAGACCTAAACATAAGTATAGGTAACCTTAGTCATATTTGACAAAGGTACCAAAAACATACACTAGATAAAAGATAGCATCTTTAACAAATGGTGCTGGGAAACTGAATGTCCACTTGTAGAAGAATGAAATTAGACCTATACCCATCACTTGGATAACTAACTCCAAGTGGACCAAAGACCTAAATGTGGAGCCTGAAACACTGAAACTGTGAGAGGAAACAGACAGTGCCATACAATGATACATGTGTGGGAATGGGCTTTGTGAATAAGACCATATTTGCCCAGGAATTGAGGTCAACAATTGACAAATAGGATCTCATAAAACCAGTTTTCTAAAACTCAGCTTGGAAAACCCTCAAAACACTAAAAGTAAATCTGCCATGTCTCAGCTTTACCACTCCCCAGCATATGCCCAAAGGACTCTATTCCACAGATACTCAGCCATGTTTATTGCTGCTCTGTTCACAATGGCTAGGAAATGAAAACAACCTATCTTAGTTACTTTTTAATTGCTATGAAAAGACACCATGACGAGAGCAACCTATAAAACAATTTAATTGGAGGCTTGCTTACAGTTTCAGAGGGTGAGTTCATGATAATCACGGCAGATAGCATGGCAACAGATAGACAGGCATTACACTGTAGCTGTAGCTAAGAGGAGATTATATATATATATATATATATATATCCTGATCTGCAAGTTGTAGGGGGAGGAAGAGACAGAGACAGAAATTGGACCTGTCATGGACATTTGAAAACTCAAAGCCCAACCCCAACAAGGCCACTATTCCTAATCTTCCAAAACAGTCCCACGAAATGTGGACCAGTTATTCAAATATATGAGCCCTTGGGAGGCATTCTCATTCAAACCCCCAAAAATCTAAATGTCCTTCAACTAGCAGTGGCTAATCAAAATGTGGAGCACATACTATGGAATACTATTCATCCATAAAGAAACGTGAAATCATGAGCTTTTTCAGGCAAATTAATGGAACTAGAAAAGGTCATTTAGTGAGGTAACCCAGACTCAGAGAAACAAACATCATACATTCTTTCTAATTTGTGGTTCCTAGCTCCAAGTCTTCAGATGTGAGTATTACCTAGAGTAACCATAGAAACCAGGAAAGTGAAAGGGTACCACAGGAGAAGCAATGGGAGCCTATTAAGGCACAAGTGATTTGAATGGGGAAATGAAAAGTGGGGGAGGCTCTAGTTAGGGAGGGGGAGGAAGATAAATACCAAAGAAGGAGAGAGGAGAGTAATGTAACAGGATGTCTGAAAAAGCCGTAAGGAATTATACTATTACCTAGCTACATAAAAAAAAATACCTATAATATATGTGAGTCTAGGTATACATACACAGTTAAAGTGAAATTTCCCTATCTGAGCTGGCAGTTCATGTGAAAAGACTAAAGGATAGAGGAAAAAGAAGTTTGCTGTGAGATTGTGCCTCCTAGAAATGTCAGAGAGGCTGCACCCATGAAGTCTTATCAGTACGGCTGCCTAAACAAGACATGAACACCAACGGACATGTTAAAATAGAAGATGAAAGGGTTATGGAGCCTCAACCCGAGACAGACTACAGACAGCTGGGAAATGTTACAGTGGGAGAAGTGGTCTTCCTTTCCCTACTGGTTATCTAGAATCAAGTGGTCAGCCCTGATATCATATACATAAGGGTAACATTTATACAGACTGAGCAGGTTGTAGTTATACATACACACACTCATTCACTCACAGGCACACTGTGAATGAATGAGTGTGTGTGTGTGTGTGTGTGTGTGTGTGTGTGTGTGTGTGTGTGTGTGTGAAGAACAATTAAAGAAAAAGCTCATGAATTTGAGAGAGAAGAGGAGCAGTGCAAGAGATGGAGGAAAGGGATGGGGTGCTTATGTAATTATAGTTTCAAATTCTTTAAAATATCTTAAAATGAAATCAGGTTTTTGGCAATAGGAAGTCTTACTTTCTTTGTCATGAATCGATGCTGCCATGAACACTGAAACATCGAGTCTGCGGATATGGCACTAAAAGCACTCACAGCCTTACAAGCTGAGCTGGTATCTTTGAACACCACGATTGCACTTTGTCGTCCACAAGGAGTGACTGAGATAATTGGGCCTAGTGTGGACAGTCTTTGGATCACTGACTTGAGGTCCTCTGTGGGTTTCATGTTCTTTTTTGCCCACCTAGCAAGGGAGGAAATGGGAGGAAAAAAATAAGAATATTCATTAAGACCTCTCTTCTAACACATACCTACAAGAAGGGGACAGAGGGTCATTTCATTGGAAGAGCAGGGCTCCTCATAGACTTTACAATCCTCATTGTTTAGTACATTGGGGCTTTAACTGCATGTATGTCTGTGTGATGGTGTCAGGTCCCCTAGAACTGAAATTACAGACAGTTGTAAGCTGCCATAGGGGTGCTGGGAATTGAACCCTGGTCCTCTGGAAGAGGAGACAGTATTCTTAACCGCTGAGCCACCTCTCCAGCCCCCACAATACTCATTTTTAGTATGGTGTTTTGTTAGGCATCTGTAAGCTGTCTAACCTTCTAACTTGACAAGGCCTTAGACGAACTATTTGAAGCACACAAAATTGGCATGGAGTATTTTGCTTTTTAAAATAATGTTTCTGATGGAAACCATTACAGAAAACCACAACTGGTTAAAAAAAAAAAAAAAACACAGTGTTGTGGAGCACAGTCCCATCTACAATAAGAGTCCTGCACCTAAGATTCAAGGGTCATCATGGAAGAGGGGACAGGAAGAAACAGAGTTTGCTATGAGATTGTCTCTCCTTGAAATGTCAGAAAATACATACACCCATGAAGATTCACTAACATGGCTGCCTAAACATCTGAACAAGGACACCACCATAGACATCCGAACATGGAAGGGGAAAGCCCAGGAGGTCTCAACCCTAGACAAAGAAATACAGGAACCAGAAATATTGAACACACAGGGTTGTCTCTTCAAAAGGAGAGATGTATAACCTGTTTTCTGCCTAGAGGCTAAGAGCTGATGTATTTAATACCTTGTGACCCTTGTGATATCTGTGTGGCATAGACTATACCAGATCATCCACCAGACCCTTATCTTGAGCTTGATTGTCTCAATCAGTTTATAGAATCTATCTTTATGGAAGATGTGACTTGTACTTAACAAAGAGTGTCTATGTAGTAATGTCTTAAGCTTTGTTATGCACATAGGATTGCAATAATTGTCACTGGGAAACTTTTTCTCTAAATTGTGCTATGCTTAAATATGCCTAAAATAAACACTTGGTGTCAGGCTCCTGAAGCTTTAACCAACACCTGCTACTTAATCATGTTGAACCAGAAGTGTCTTCTTGCCTCCCATAGATGGTTGCTCTACTGACTGTGGTGGTTGAGAGACCCCTTCATTTCTTAAGATCTTTTTCTTGAGGTCTGATCTTTGGAGACTACTTTGCTTTCCTGTATTTTCTTTCCCAAGAAACTTTTGGGGAATAAACTTCAAGTTTATTTTCTTAGGGTCTGGGCTCCACTTCTAGGTGGATGGGTGTTTTGCCCATATGTATGCCTGGAATGTTACAAGAGGCATTGGATCCCCTGAAACTGGAGTTATAAGTAATTGTAACCTGTGAGTTCTGGGAACTGAAGCTGGGTCCTCTGCAAGAGCATTTTCTGCTCTTACCCATCTCTCCAGATCACCTCACTTGGCAGCCCCACCTCTTTGGCACAAATACTATGCACACATACCCTCTCTGAACAATACATCTAGCAACCTTGGACCCCCACCTGCATCAGTCTACATGGACACTTCTTTCTAAACAATAGAATAGATTTCCACTCCCCTAACAACAATCAAACTTAGATAATTTCTATTCAAATATATTTCCGATGCATTTAGTTACAAAGGAAGGCTAGGCTAGTCCCGCCTGAATTACTTTTGTGTATGAAGTAAGGCAAAACTGTATCCTCAAATAAATTTATAGAATCTCCTATTTAATCCAATGCCTATGCATAATTAGGTTTGTGTGTGTGTGTGTGTGTGTGTGTGTGTAATTAAAATCAGATGCACTATAGGAAGGGACATGCACAGTAGAAAATTTGTTATATACCCTAATCTATCAGTCATAATAGAGAAACACACTTGGCACAGCCCTTAGTAATCAAACTCCTCCTTCTCTTGAACCCTAAAAAGGAAGATATGGAAATAATAACCAAGTCCCTTGACTATCTTCACTCATGGTCTATTGCTCTTTGTGTGTGTATGTGTCTGTGTGTGCTCTGACCTATTCTATAGCTTTTTTTCTGAATAAAATCTATGTGAACCTTTATTTCAATTTCTTGAATAAGAGACCAAGAACCTAGTAACATGTGACCCAGGCCCCAACCTCTGTAACATTCTACCAGGGCTTTAACTACTCTTCAATCCATCATCATACCCAGCAACTATTTACACAACAAGAGAAGGACAACATGGTAACAAATTCTTGCCTTCTTTATCTAAGCAATACTCAGTTCCTGTTCATTAGACCATTTCTGCTTAATCTGTTAATTTCTATGGTGAGACTATTCTTCTTAGACTATAAAATCAACTCCACTTAAGCTGAGTTTACAGAATGGGGTAGGGCTCCCTATGGAAATAGAGAATGGCATCAGTTTATGTCTGGTACCTGAACATAGATACACAGTCATCAACTAATGAGAGTCCATGATGGACCATAGGTACAATGATGCTGAGATCATATGGAACTGAAATGTTCATAGTGAGATATTTTTAAGCCATTCTAAAGTTGTAATGAAATATACCATGAGTGTGTGTTGATATAGGTGTCAACAAACTCACTATGCAACCAGTGATACATAACACATAAAATGATGTTCAGTACAGAATACCTCACAATGATATGTTGTTAATTTATGTATTTACAATATTTTACTTTTATCATTATCTAGAGTATACTTCTATTTACTAAAAAGCACTACTGTAAATCTGTTGCTATGTAACACCAGTACCAGCCTCATAATATTGTGTTTCCCATCTCTTTCTGGTTGGGTGCTAAGTATATTAACTACTTTATGGTATTTTCATTTGAGCATATAATCACTTTGATTATGTTCACTTTTTTTTGTCTTTTGAGACAGACTCTCACTATGTAACCCTGACAGCCCTGGAACTTGCTATGCAGACCAAGCTGGTCTCAAATTCACAGAGATTCACCTGTCTGAGTCTCCCAAGTAATGGGAATAAAGATGTACACCACTCCACTTGACAATGCTCACTTCCTTTATTTCCTTTTTTTTTTTTTAATCCCCTGCCCTAGATTCTTTTATATTCATTATTGTCTCCCTTTTACTTTTGTATCTCTTCCTGGCCAATTTCACACATAAAAAGAAAATATGTATGCTGGTTAATTTTATTGTCAACTTAATTTGACACAGCATCAAATCACCTGGAAAGAGAGAAACTCAAACACCTAGATCAAATTGTCCTGTGGGCATATCTATGGGTCATTGCCTTATTAATTGGTATAGGAGGGTACAGGCCACTGTGGGCAGCATCATTCCTTAGGCAGATAGACCTGATCTGTATAGGAATGGTAGCTAAATATGAGCCTGAGAGGGAGCAAACCAGAGATCAAGACAGCAAACAGCATATCTCTATAGCTTCTGTCTCTATATTTCTGCCTTGAATTCCTTCCTGACCTCACTCAGTGATTGATAATGACCTGGAAGTATAAGCCAAATAAGCCCCTCCCCAAGTTGCTTATTGTCAGAATGTTTTATCACAGCAACCGAACATGAAATTCTGCACCTGGCTTGTTTTGCTTACCATGATGATCTCCTGTTCCATCCACTTTCCTGCAAACAGCATAATTTCAACCTTTACAACTGAGTAAAACTCCATTCTATACATTCAACACGCTTTCACACCTCCATCCACTGATGGACCCCTGGCCACTATGAATCGTTCTATGATAAACGTGGGTGTGAAGGAGCCATTTGTATCCTGACTTTGATTCATTTGTTACCACCTCTTTGACTGCATCAAGAGACCACATCCAGAGGTTGACACACCATCTAGGCTTGTGTAACTGTGGTGTTTGCATAATGATGAGACTGATTACCTGTAACCCAGCGCATTTCTCAGAATGTGTCCATAGGGATTAGCAGCAAATAGCCATAAATGAGAATAGAACTGGTTTATTGAGGCTGACATGCTGGGCATTTGTGGTGTTAGTGAGAACACTGGAAAATCCAGCAGTAGTCATCTTTAGAGTCTAGAAACCAAAGGTTAACCTGAGGCTAGAATTCCACCCCCTTACAGCATCTTAGTCTTTTCTATTAATGTTTTAAACTGATGGAATGACAGGCCTACCACACTATTTTACTCAGTACTACTGATTTAAGTGTAAATCACATCTGAAAAATAATTTCATAGTAACCCCTGGACATGTTTCAAACAACTGGTACCATAGATCCACCAAGCTGACATGTATATTTAATCATCCTGTAACCTGGCTACAGTATCTTATAGTCTCACTTGGAATGCTGAGAAAGGAGGATTTTTGAGGCCAGGAGTTTAAGGCTAGCCTGGACAGCATAGTAAGACTGTATCTTAAGCAGATAATAACCGGCAGATAGCCTGATAGTAAGATTTCCTTTCATAGATGAACTCAGGGACCTTGATGAATCAATATTGATGGTTGAATAGATGATAAGTGCAATTCCTTCAGGTTTGTCCCTAATCCTGGCTCTGATATATCAACAGAGTCATTGGAAAACACTCTCCTGACCCAAGGTTCTGCCTAGAGGTTTTACAGCTCTAAGTGCCTATGGGTCCTACCTCATTTGAAGGGACAACCACTAAATGAGAGAAGTAAAGAAAAATGGGAATCTCTCATTTGCTATATTTTATCACTTACATTGTTATTTTGTCTTGAATCCATATGTAGAAAAAGCACAAATACTTTTCTTGAATTCCTACCCAACAACCAGGTATAGAGCTTAGGCTAACAATCATGTCCTTACAGTACAACACAGTAAATATGATAGACATGAAGGGTGCCTATTGCCTTTCTGGCATGGTTTAACTACAAATGTCTACAGCACAGGAGGAGCAGAACCAGTTCTACTGACTACTACCAGGTTCTTGACTCTGTGTTGTTCAATAAAACATTATTTAGACTCTAAAGTTGCTATGTGGATCATTCAGCCATCGTCTGTTCAAGACTGCTTTGTCACACTTTCCAAAAGAAAAATGAGCCCCAGAGCCCATGAATATAACATATTGAGCCAATAAATGTGGTTTACAATTATAATTTACATGATATTTCCAGAAAGGATTTACAATATTATAAATAGTGGGGCCTGGCATCCTGCCAAGTTCTCCAACAGGGTTACTACACCACCATCTGGACTCTAGATGCTTGGAAATCTGTTTTTCAGCATGGCGTGACTTTGGGGATTACTGATTTCTTTGCATAACATAATGGAAGAATTTTTGTCAGAAGCCAATGTGATGTAGCATCTGACCCAATGACTACCATCACTAGCCATAGCTTGACTGTGCTCCCCAGAAAGTTGTAACTCAGAACCTTGATTCTCCACGCCATGGCAGTGGAGGCTTTAAGAAGAGGGATTAATGTTCATCGGATATGACTATGTTAACTCTCATTCTAAAAGGACAAATTAGTTTCATTACAGGTTGGGAAGATATCTCCACCAATAAAGTGTTTGCTGTGAAAGCATGGAGACCTAAGCCCAATCCCCATTTAAAAGCTGGGTGTGGCAAACACCCATAATTCTAGTGCTGGGGAGGTGAAGACAGGCAGGTCCCTGGGCTCACTGGCCAGCCTGTCTAGCTAACTTAGTGAGTTACAGGTTTGTGAGAGACTATCTCAAAAATAGGCTGGGGAGTGAGTGAGGAAGACATCTGGCATTGGCCTCTGGTTTACATACAAGGTAACAGAGAGAGAGAAAGAGAGAGAGAGATTCCAAAGAAAGGCTACCCTGCTTGCTTTCTCCCTCTTCCATATGCCCATGTCCCTACTTGCCCTTCCAATTTCCACCATGTTCTAAAGCAGTACCAGGCTCTTATCTTGGACTTTCTATCATCTAGAACCACGAGCCTAAACAGAGTTCTTTTCTTTATAAGTTACCCAGTCTTAAGTACTCCAATAAAATATGGGTGAAGTCCTTTTTTAAGGAAAGGCTTTCCCTCTCTGTGCAAGTGAAGACACAGATTCTAAGTCCTAAACATGTTTGCCAGCGTTAAGTTCAAGGTTCCTATGGTTGGCTCAGTCTAATATTTAAACACACTAAAGTACACATTCTCACTGCAAGTTATACCTCTCAAAATTCAAAATAGCACCTGCCATTTATTTCCCAGCATAGAGTCACCACATGAGATCTTATCAACCTCATTTTACAGACAAGCAAGGGCAGGAGAGTGAGCAGGGCTTCAAGCAACATTTAGACAAGAATGTTATTAATATTCTTCAGGGACATCTAGGCTTGCCTTCAAGAACGGATGCTCTCAAGGGTACCTACCAGTTAAGTCACAAGGGTAAGAATGGGAGTTGTCAAGTGTCTAGATGGACTTGTTAGAAGAAGATAGGGCAAGAATCACAGGCAATACAGCAGATACCCTCTGCCATCCAGAGTCATGGAAACCAGAAAAGGATTCAGGATAGAATCCTTGTGAAGTAGCCCCCATCACTAGTAAGGCTTTCTTGGATCCCTTGCTAGTTAATTTGCATCACAGCCCAGTTCTTTTTCTACTCCTCCCAATGCTTACCCTCATGCCCCCTTTGATGTGCTCTATCACCAGCTAATTTTTTGGGCTCTTATTTCTGTATGAGCCCTTGCTTCTCAGAGACCCTAAACAAGCAAATGAACAAAGCAGACTACATGTTTATGGGAAGCAGATGTATGTTTGTAGAAAAAAATGTGTGAAGATAGGTGTCCAGCCTTGGATGTTGATATTCAAGCCATATTTTCATAGGCCATGCTAGGATGTTATACAGATCAGTCCATTTGAAGGGATCATACTCCAAACAGCCTTCTATGATGTTGAAATTTGGTTTAAAAAAAAAGTAGCCCTTCAAATCTGGTCACATCATCTCAATTTGACTATCTTGAAATAATTTTACTCACTGCATTTTCCTGAAAGTGCCATGGTTCTAATGACCACTGTCTCCTTATAACATAACTTTGTTTTCTTTAGTTATAGGGTTTTGTCTTTTGAGATTATAACTTAATTACATTATTTCTCTCTTGATTTTCCTCCCTCCAAACCTTCCTATCCACCCCTTCCCATTCTTCTTTAAACATATGGCCTCTTTTTTCACTGATTGTTATTGAACACATATATGAATATGTGTCTACATATTGTCCCTAAATGTAACCTGTCCTGTCTGTATAAAGTTACTTGCATGTACGCTTTCAGGACTGACCATATGGCACTGGACAACCAGCTGGTATGCTCCTCCCTGGAGAACAAGGCCACTTCTACTCCCAGCTTTCCTCGATTGCCTATAGTTTTTTGTTATAGGGTTGAGGCCTTGCATGCTTTTCTCTGTCCACTTTGGTGTGTTCATTTGTGTCAGTCTTGTGCAGCTCACATGTGGGCAGCCATGAGAGGGAGACTTTATGGGTATAGCTTCTAATATTACTAGGAGACACAGTCTTACTAACCGTGGATTTTTAAAACTAGCTGGCAAGGTCTGAACACTGAAGACACTGGAGCAAGTACACAAGATTTTTTAACTAGGATAATGAACCCAGAGAAAGATTCTAGTACAGGCAAATTCATGAGCTTGACCTCTGCATGTTATCATCTTAAGATCAGAGAGGGCTCTACTTTTATCCTGTTAACTCGCTAACAGACTTTTAAATATCTACAACGTGCAAAGCACAGGTATCAACTTGTATAATATAGTCAGAGATATGAAAGCACCAAATAGAAACATACCATCTGTTGTGAACAAGGAAATGTACAAAATAAGGTAGTTTGCTGAGAGGGCAACACTTAAGACCGGCATCCACTGTTTCACCTAGCCCAAGACCAGCTATTCCTTACTTGTCTTACTTGTGTTACTGACCAAAGCTCCCAGTAAGTCTCTAGCTTCTACCCATTTCCATAAAGGCCAGAGAGTACTTGAATACATCTTGTTCCTCCCTTGCACTGGCTCTCACTTCCTTTCCCAGTGTAAAAATCTGGCAGATTGGGGATAAAGCCAAGTGTCTAGTCCTTGGTCATGCTAATGGTGATACTTAGTGGATGGTTCCCTCTCCAACAATCCTACTCTAATCCTGCATATCTATACTCACTAAACTATAAGGCGATAGGCAGAGGTGACAGTGACACATCCCACTTCCCATTTCCATGAGGTTTCTTGCACTTAAGGCTTCTTCAGTAACTTGGGATGTGTCAAGTAGAAGCTGTATTCTCTTACACTGGCATTTCCATATCTTCCATGTTTCACAAAGACCAAAGTAAATCTTATTTTTTCTATTTTTTTTTGGGGGGGTGAAGAGTTTCTGTGACCATTCTGTGTTTCTTTAAACATGAGCATGAGATGAAAGTCCGAGGACCTACCTGGCAACAATTGTGCACATGGGTGGCTCATATGTGTTTTTCTTCCATGTGTGACATTTCTTCCAGTTGCCACTTCTATTGTTGATATTTTTTCTTTTCCACAAGGGCATTTTGCTTGGCTTCGGAGTCAGACTAACCTCTTTTGGCAACTGATGCCTTGCTAAGATCTTTTCCAAGCCAGAGAATTCACAATTCTCACCTGGTGGTAGAATAAGTATTAATGGGGTTCAGTGTTCATTTCCACCTCAGCATAGCAAGATTCTTTCAAGTCTTTGTGGGTGTACCTGGTGTTGAGGATGGAAAGCAGGACCTCATATGTGTTAGGTATACCCCCTCCAGCTATATGTGCAATTTAGCAATTACTTCTTAGCTCTGCCACCCCTTTATCCCAGCAATATTTCTTACATGTTAGTCTAAGGGATGCATTGTCTAAAATGTGTGCATTAAGTGTCTTAAGATCACTGAAAGCATTGTTGATTCATTATGTACAGTTTGCAAATTAGTAGTAAGTTATAATACAGTTATTATTATTATTACACATTTTGAAACTTCTCAGATGAAACAGAATAGGTAGAGATTATTATCTTACTCAATATGGAGCACAATCTTCCTGCTATTTTTGCCTAAGGACTATTCTGCCTTTGGACATCCAATAACTGAGACTTGGGATTTAGACCTTTGTTTCCTACTGTTGGAACTCTCTGGGTGGTCAGCAGCAGTTCAGATGACAGAATGGTAGAACTGCTCTGAGAGGATGAGGCAACTCCAGAGGTTTACACCTGCTTTCAGAACTGGCAGACAGGACTAAAGAAGGAAGGATTATTTTAGCACATGGTTTAGAAGGTTTGATACATGCTCACTTGATCCCACAAGCTTGGGCAGAAGGTCATGACTGCAGGAACCAGTGGCATAAGATAGCTTTCCCCTTCATAGATAAACAGGAACCAAAAAGCACAACAGAAAATTGCCAGTAATAATGTGTCTTCCAGTTGGATTCCGCTTGCTAAGTCTCTGGAGTCACTCAAAATAGTACCACCATCTGGGACCAAGAATTCAAGTCATCAACCTACAGAGGACTTTATATCCACAGACCATAACACTGACACAACAGAAAAATCCAGAGCATCTTTTGTGTGCCCGCCCTACACATTACCAATTCCTCTTCCATTGACTCTCCCTGAGGGAAGAGCTGAAACTCAGCATGCCACCATCCCTTCTGCTGTTTCCAAGTCTTAATACACCAGAGCAGAGGGAAGCAGAAGGGATTTAAACACTCTGAGAGTGACTTATAGTGCTTATATTAGAATTGATATTTCATTAGCAATATAACTTCCCCAAAGCTAAGCAATTTGCCTGCAATTCACCCAAAGTTAGCAACAAAAGTCAAGAGAATGGATCGAAAGGAAGCACTGTTGGAAACAGGAGCAAACACCCATTCATAAACACTGAGTCGAAGTAGAACTCAGATGCAGATGGAGATGACAAGACCAGGCAGCAGAAACACATAGAGACAGCTTACCTGAATAAGGAGGAGCTAATGGGCCCCCAGACTGATAGCTGGGAAGCCAGCATAGGACTGACTTAGGACCCCCGAATATGGGTCTCAGCCAGAAGGACTGAGCAGTCTAAGGGACCTCAGAGAGTGGAGCCAGGATGTATCCCTGGTGCACAAAAGGACTTTGTGAACACATCCCCCATGGAGGGATAACTGCCTTAATCTAGAGACAGGAGAGAAGCCCTAGTCCCTACTTCACATGACCTGTCAGACCTACATGACCCCAACTGGATGGCATTCCCCTACATATGGAATTGGTGTGGGGGGGATGGGAGGGGAGGGTGTTTAGAGTGCATGTGAGAGGGCAGAGAGGGTAAAAGGGAGGGAAGGAGGAAGGGAGGGAGGGAGGGACAGAGGGAAGAAGGGAGGGAGAGAAGGAGGGAGAGGGAACTGGGATTGACATGTAAAATAATAAATTAAATTAAAAAAAAATGTTTTGACTCCAAAATTTAAGTTCAAGGACAAGTTACTGGGGAAAAGGATTTCTATTTTTGTTTCCACAGAAAATGAAAAGATGTGGATTCCTTCCAGACTAATGTGGTTTGATCAAGCCAGACCACCTGAAACAGAGTACCAGGTGATCCTACATTCAAAACAGCTGGACAAAGCAGCCTTACAGACTACAGCCAGGATTTCTGCATCTTCTTAGAATCCCCCATGACAGCGCCCCTTACCAGCAGGAAGTAGTTTGGAAAGAACGACACCCAAATTCCCAAATATTGTCTATAAATGTTTGTCTTCATTTAAATGGACTTGGTTATATAAAATAAATTAATTAATTAATTTTAAAAAAGGAAGCACTGAGGCAAGGGCAGAGTGACAAAGTAGCTGATTTGTGAAGTTTTGTGCTAAGCTGTTTAAATTCTGTGTGTATTTGTTATGTAATATGTAATATAACCTGGATATATGGGTTTTTTCATAACACTCATAACATGCTGGATTACAAAGTAGGGATCAACCTGAATACAAGCAACTTCCCTCCAAAAGTTAAAAGTGTATTAGTCCCTACCTTTGTTTAAATCGTGTGAAAGTTTCTATTTTTGTCTCCTCAGTTTATGGGCACAGGTGGCTGCCATCACAAGTAATTCAAGGTTGGGGTCCATTAAGTTCTACAGATGAAATTCTCAACCACCCTGACCCAGTTTTAGGACTACGAGGCCACTCCAAACTGCAAAAAGTAGAGACTTCTCACTGTATGGAGTGGCACAAGCCTATGGTCTCAGCTATCCAAGAGGCTGAAGCAAGAAGATGGTGTGAGCCCCGAAAATTCAGACCAGCTTGAGCAACCTGGATTCCATCTCAAAACAGTAATACTAAATACAAAAAAAATCTTTCAAATTACTTTACAGTACTTCCTAGCAAAGGTAGAAGGGAATAGTGGAGCATCAAACAAAGGAAAGAAGTTTGTGATCTGACCCTCACCTTGAAAGATCTGTTAATCTCAAAATCAAAACTACACCTTAATATGTACCTTGAGAGCATTTGGACCCAGCTCATTTTCATCTTTCCATGGGTGTCTTTTGCTGAGAGATGAATAATAACTCATCTTGGCACAATGGAAGACTACACACAGAAGACACGATGACCTCTACCCATGGGGAAATTCACAATCTGCTCTGAGAACACAGGCATATCAAGTCATGATGTGGCATTCGTCTCATGAGCGAACCGCACCCCCAATGTGAAGAAGTTAATGCCCACAGCTGAAAGAAGAGGGTTCACACTGGCATGCCAATACGAACATTCTCGGTCACCCTCGACCCACTTACATTTGATTTTGTCACTTTCACTTCTGTAGGAATGAAGCACTTCCACCAAATGATTTGGGAGCAACTTGTGAAGGTTAGAGAGAAAGTCAAATGTGTGACACAGGATGTCAGGCTGGGCATAATTTTTCGATGACTCCTGAATGACATTTATGAATGAAGGATTGTTGTTGACTGTTTCCATGATGGCCTATTAAGTAACAGAGAAAAGCAAGCAGAGCACATAAAATGTGCCGGCGTGTCGTGGGACTGTTCTTTGCCTCAGCTCGCTGCCATCTCCAGGAGGAGATGCTGGAACCCACTTTCTAGTCTCTGACTGCTTTGCATTCTGAGTGTCACAATGGCCCAGGCATTGGCCTGGAACCCTCAGAACCCGTTCTTGCATCTTCAAATCAGAGAAAAGTGGCCCATGGAAGGTGTCCTACCAAATAATTCAGAGATTTTCCACAGAAATTCCAGGTTCCTGTCTGGATATGGATGAGCTCTGAGGAGAAAAGCCAAGTCTTTCCTGAAAGGAAGTCACATTGCCCGTGCTGTCTTCCCATCCCAGAGGCCTTGTACCTGGTGTGTGCATAACTAAGACTCCATAAACCTAGGAGGCCCCAAAGAGAGTGGGAACATCAGCACTGCCCCTTGTAGACCCAAGGAAGAGCTTTATGGTCCTAAACTAAGGAAATGTCCAGAATAATACAGGTAAGGGGACTATCTACTTTTTACTCCTTTTTCCAGATTACCAAAACAAACAAACAAATAAAATCTCTTTAGTGATAGTTTTTCTTCACTGTAGACCAAGGAGCAGAGGGTAATGCAAGTACTAAATAACAAGGAGCAACTGAGAAGCAACCAAAAACCACTTCCCAGTTCGCAATGAAGATGCAAATAATAGCATGGTTAGAGTTGTCCCTTGGTTGTCAGCCCACTGGCCATCCAGGCCACCAGTTTCCCCATGATTACTCAACTTTTGTTGAACTGGCTTGCAAACTACATTGCAAAATAGAGAGAACACGTGCTATATACTCTTGGTAGCAGTTGCTCATGTTGGCCAGCATTTTAGCCATGCTGCAAAGCCTTGGCCAAAACCTTAGAAAAACATTGCTTTACCCTATGGAACATTTGTGTCCAGAGCAGGAAATAAATTCCACTTTTTCGTCCTCAACTTTCAAACTAAAAAAATAAAGGCTTAAAAACAAAACAAAAACCATGTTAACCCATTTAAAATATTTTATAGAACTAACAAGAACCATTTGAATACAATGTGCTTCTCAATATTGCATAAGTATTTTTGGCTGGAGAAAGGAATTGACGGAGAAAGGAGGACAGAATATGTTGGCAACTGGAATACACATACCCCGGCTTCTTCCAGCTAAGCAAAGTTGAATGCATAACTCTAAGCCTTCATTTTCATAAATAGAAAAGAAAGAAACATATTTTAAATATGTCCTTTATACACTGTAAATTGATCTATACTGTAACAACATGCAATGGGTTTGTATGTTAGGAAGCACAAGGCCAAAAGAAGCAGGACCAAGTAAAGAATGGAGAATGACCTATACGGGGGTTATTTCCAAAGCAGTGTCCCCCTAGAGCAAAACAAGCACAGGGCTTTCATTGGAAAAGCTGATACATATTCATATAGGAAAGTCCTGTAAGAATGGGCACATTCTTGAGCATTCTCTATTTTAGGTGATAATTTAGGAAGGAAAAAGGACAAGCACATTTACTCAGCTCAAGGTTTCATTATGTAGCCTTGGCTGGCCTAGAACTCCATATGTAGACCAGGAAGGATGGCCTCGAACTTGCAGAGATCTGCTTCCCTCTTCCTAATGAATACTAGGGTTAAAGGTGTGCACAAGTATGCCTGACTGACATTATGAAATGTCACTCTAAGTAGCATTTGACAGAATGTTTATAGTTACCTAAAGCTACGGGCACTGGCTGAAACTAGACACAGGTGGTGATTGCTAAAAGTTATCCTTGAAAAAAAATTTTGACTCTTATCAAGAAGACAAAATAGGAGCTGGAAAGATGACTACGTAGTTAAGAGCATTTTATTTGCTGCTCTTGTAGAGGACCCAGGTTTGGTTCTCAGCACTCACAAAGCAATTTACAACCATTTGTAACTCCAGTTCCAGGAGTTCCAACACCCTGTCCTAGCCTCTACAGGTTTAGGCACGTGTGGTGAAGACAAAAAATACTCATAAAATAATCAAAATTTTAAAATAGAATAAAACCCTAAACACAGAAAACAACATCAAATGCAGTCAAGGGGGCAGAGAGATGGGCACTTTAAAATTCCCTTTCATTTGTTAGTGAAAATGTCAGAGAGGCCAATAGTCACTGGGAAAAGCAGTACAGCAGTCCAGCTAGAACTTTAAAAGCAGATAAGGAAATAAGGATTCTTATGCCAAAGAGATAGCCGAGTACCTGTGTTCTTCAGGGCACTGTAACAATTGCCAACATTAGGGGAATAAGTCTGGCTAGCTGTCCATCAACAGATAAATGGATAAAGAAAGTGTACATAGGCTGAGCCCGATGGCCTTTTATCCTTGCACTCAGGAAACAGAGGCAGGCAGACCTCTGTGAGTTCCACACTAGCCTGGTCTACATAAAGAGACCCTGTGACAAAAAGAAAAAAACAAACCATCAGCAGATGGATTTTTTTTCCCCAATAAGTTAGACTTGTAGCAACTATAGCCATTTGCTTTTTTCTACACATACTGTGGTGGAAAGAATTTTGGGATGGAAGCTCAGGGAGGCAGGAAGATTGGCCACATACTGCTGACAGCTAGCCTGATGATCTTGATCCAAGCTCCTAGGTAGGGCACTGCCTGCAATTCTGAGTCTAGATGCAACGAATGCTTGTGTTTTAAAATCTTATTGACAATTCTTCTCTCCAATGACCAATACCTCTCAACCATGCATTTGATGAGAGCGCCCTGTACCCTTGCCTTGCTGCGGGAGAGGGTGAGCTGCCACGCCTACCAGTGGCTCCTTAGGTCTTGCCGCCAGCCTTATTTACTAAATTATTACTGCAGCAGCACAGGGCAAGGTAGGGCAGGGCAGCACCCTGGGTTGTTTTTCTTCACTCACAGCTAGCTAGCTCTTAGGTAACAGGCAAATCCCTTTCTTTTTTGTTGTTGTTTCAAAGAGGGCTCTTGTGCCTCCGGAGCACCTTCAGCTGCCAGCAAGCTACAGCTGTGCGTTTGACAAGGCCAGCTGGCTCCCAGAAGGCAGAGTGTTCAGCAACGTTCAGAAAGAGAAGATCATCTCCAAGTTTCTCAAAGGAAGCGTCCTAAAGAGAGTGTTTGGCTCGCAGCAGCTGAGGTGGGAGGGCCCCAACTGCCAGAAAGAGGATCCCAGCTCCACATGTCCTAGCTCCAGAAAGTAAGTCCGTATAGAAAAGTAGACCGAAAATCAAAGTAAACTCATCCCGGATGGCCAGAAAAACAGCTCTGTGTCAGCATCCAGACAACCAGGGTTAGGTCCGGCAGTAAGAGCAAAATAAAGTAGGAACCACGTGACTGAGGACGTGTTCAAAGCACCAGCTGTACCACCGGCACAGGATGGGGGGTTCATGGATGTATGGGCTTCTCTTGCTTGGGAAAATGTTTTTAAATACATCACTACCATCCACGGTAGGAATATGTAGATTTGAAACAAAATTCCGTGTTATTTTTTTTTTAAAAAAATAAAATAGTAGCTTCCCCAATAAGATAGTATTGTTAAGGAGGCAGACATTAAAGGTTAATATTGTTGTTACTGTTTGTTTTTTCCAGACAGGGTCTCACTATGTGGCTCTGGCTCTCCTGGAACCACACTGGCTTTGACAACACAGAAATCCACCTGTCTCTGCCTCCCAAGTGTTGCTATTAAAGGCCTGTGGCACTACTCCAGGCAAAGGTTGAGTTTTAAAATAAAACTTTATAAAGTAGACAATGAAAAAAGAAATCCTTCAAAATAAAAACATTTTACTCATGTTTCTTTAAAAGGAATTATACAAACTCAAGAAAGCTAGGATACTCATGATTAATGATCATTAAAAAAAAAAAAACTAAAGTTGGGACAAAGATAATCAGCTACTAATGAAAGGCACAGATGGGAAAGGGATAAAATCAAATTATTAATCCAAAGCATATGCTAAATATTATCTGTCTACCAGTGACTTGAATATATCCTCCCCTGGTCAAATATAATTTTTTAAATTGTTTATTCATATTTTTGTATATATATGGGTGTTTTGCTTCCAAGTATGTCTATGGACCACACGCATGCCTGGTGGCAAAGAAGAAGGCATCAGATCCACTGGGATTGTAGTTCAGTCATGAAGTGCTGCGTGGGTGCTGGGAATCAAACCTGTGTCCTCTGGAAAATCAGCCAGTGCTCTTAACTGCTGAGCTATTTCTCTAACTTCCGATCCAGTATCTTATTTAAGCACCACACACACACACACACACACACACACACACACACACACACACACACACACACAAAAGTGTATTGTTAATTAGAAAATAATGGCCAACTTTAGGGAAATGTTGACATGATCCTACTGAAGGGGATTCTGAGGTCATGTATACCAGAAAGGTGAGTATCAAAATATGAAAGGCATCAGGAAACAGGCAAAAATGGAAATCCTTTTCCTGAAGAGTAACTAAGAAATCTTTGTCTTGGTATTTCTTTGTTTAGCCCAGGGCAATAAAGACAAGAAAGTTGAGGTGCTTTCTACAATAGTATCTTTCTGTCATCATTGTCATCTCTGACATAAGAGGAGAAGCTAAGGTGAACTTATTGAACCCTCTGAAGTTCCTCACCCAAGGCTTGTTATCATTTCCTCTCATTCAAACCTTCCCTAGTGGGGACTCAAGAGGTGGCTCAGTGGTTAAGAGCATGTGTTGTTCTTGAAGAGGACCTAAGTTCTATTCCAAGCACCCACACCAGGAAGCTCACAACAACCTGTAACTCCAACTACAAGGGTCCAGGCAGTCCTTTGACCTCCTCAGACACATAAGCAAATTAATAACAAACCTCCTCTGCTGTAGTTTGTAGAAGATTGGTAAATACTACCAAGCAGAGACCATTCACCTAATTCGGTCAGTTTTGGGGGAAAAAAAAAAAGGTCTCCCTCTGTATTAGCTAAAGAGGTACAGATTTAAAGTAAGACCACCTTGAGACTACATCTAATAACTGAATGTTGGTCATGGCCTTGAAGGGAGGGACATTCTCTTTGGCCAATGGCTGACACTAATGCTAAATCTAATCTGCTAAGAAAATGGCCTAGTCTCTTACTTCTGCAGTGTGAATTAGAGCCAAAGCAGTTGGAGAAGATACCATTCTTTTAGATGTTTTGGTGTACTTAACTACTTAGACTTAACTATAGTCTTTCACATTTAGTGATAAAGGGAAAGGCAGCCACAATTTTGATGTCATCAAAGCATGGAAAGGAAAAGCATTTGAGTGGGGGATAATAATGGGAAAGAGAAGCCATTGAGATTAGGCTGTACCCAAGAGACTATTTTTTGTTTTGTTTTATTTTTCAAGACAGAATTTCTTTGTGTAACAGCCCAGCTGACCTTGAACACACAGAGATCCATCAGCCTCTGCCTCCCAAGTGCTGGGATTAACGGTGTGCACCACCACCATGGGGCCAATGAAAGAGAATCTTATAGAATGTACAAACCTCAGAGTGATTCTTAGGACCTGTAATTGATCCTAAGTAAGACCAAAGGAAAAGGCAGAACCAGAAACATTAAACAAGGAAGATGAGACCAAGTGAGCCAGATACATGAATGTTGCACCTGCACAACCACACCTGTACACGTATAATTTCTGTCCCCAGAAGAGACTGAAGAAAAATCCCCAGCTACATATACTCTAGAAAAGACTAGCTGAGAGTACATGGCCCCCAGCTCACCATTTTCAAAGTAATTGTAAATTGAAAAGAGGCACTTAATATAGTTACAGCTCAAGTTTCTCAATTAAAAATTAGGAACAACTAGTAGTAACTGCTTCGTTGAGGTGAATATTAAATAGGCAATTCACATACAATGTTCAGCAGTATGGCTGGCACCCTTAAAATGCCATGCATTCTGGCAATTATTATTAGGCAGTAATTAAATTAATTCAAGCATTTTCTGAATGACTACTATCTGCCCGACATTATGCTAAATTGAATAAGGGTAGATCTTGTCTTCAAAATGTACAAAAGATATGTCTCTTTTGATGGAAAATTATAACAATAAATAACTTAAGCAAATCACTATAATACAACCCAAAATAGCATCTTGGAGTGAATGGATAGCTGTTTATTCTTCCTCAGCGATCAGAAGGATGACAAGTGAGCTAAAACAATTTGACTCCAGTTTAATCCTGCAGGTTAAAAACAAAACAGAACTGATAAAAGGGAGAGCTCAGCAAAACTGTGCAATTATTCAATGTGATTGACAAGCACAAGGAGTTAGAGAGGAAAAGTGAAAGCAATCGCTTCAAGCTAGACTGAAGAGTTAAGATTTCCTTCTTCAGACCTTGGAGGAGCATCTGACAGAGCTATATGCCAGAGCTACCAGATAGAAAACACCCTGAAGGAAGGAAACACCTAGACCTCCAAGAAACCTGCAGGGAATGAGGCCTCCACAGACCTTAGTCTTCCTCTTCATTGGTTGATTGTGCCCCTACTATGAGTTCCACCCAGTGTTAAGTGAGGTGGGTATCATAATGGATCGAGCAGGCAAGGTGTTTCCCTCACTACTATGGATAAACAGATGATTTTTAAGGACAACAAGTAAACAGGGCTCATAAACAAGATTGTGAGTTGTACAAAGGAGTAAACAAAGAGTTATGTAATAGAGTAAGATAGGCAGGAAAGACCTCTTTAAACTTTGAGGGGGGAACAGACTAAATGCAGAGGAAGAAGACAGGCATCTACTGGGTGGGGTTGGGGAGGCAACCAAATATCTTTGAAACTTCATGTTTGTTGCATATATGTGTATGTACTTTTTCTGGAAGATAAAAGGGACAGGGCTCCCATTCTTTCAGACATTAAAGAGGCAGTATATTTCAATGCTTATTGAAACTTGCGGAATTTGAGTCTAGGGCCTGATGTTCAATCAGACAAAGTATTATCAACAAGCAATTTAAAAGTTTTTCTTCTCAAAGCTGGACATGGTGACACACATCTTTAATCCCATCACTCGGCATCACCACAGGCAGAGATATCTTTGAGTTCGAGGCCAGCCTGGTCTACACAGAGAGTTCCAGACTAGCCAGCCAGGGCTACAGAGAGAAACCCTGTCTCAAAAACCAAAACAAATAAAACCCCTCAAATGTCCTTACTTTATTATACTGACATTTTTAGTAGTCATTTACTTATATACAGAGTGGCTCTTAAAATCTTTCTGTATACCAAACTGCCCTGGGAAAAGACACTTAATATGAAAGTTCAATTATATATAATTTACACATATTATTTCTCTCTTTTTCCACTTAATTTGTGGAGGTGGCAAGAGATGTTCATTCAGGGTTACAAAACTGGGTTCTTACAATATAAATGTATCCTAGAGGGGGTCGGGGAGGGAGAGACAGAGGGGGGAGAATGGGCTAGTGATATTTGAACAGATGTTGGAATGAAGGGCTGTGGGTCATGATTTGGGTACCACAGACCTACTGGCCACAGCAAGAGTCCCCGACCCCACCCCGAGAAGGTCTGTGGAGCCTCACTAGGGTCACGAAGGCCCACAGGTGGCTGGGAAGCCCAGAACCTTGCGAAGGAAAGCAATGGAGGAAGATCAGGGAGGCCCCAAGGGGCCTGAAAGGTCCCAGAAAAATTAAGGTGGCCTGAGAAGGATCAGCAGTGACCTAAAATACTCCAGAAGTTTCCCATCTGGGCTGAGAAGGACTAGCAAAGCCCCGGAAGCCTTGGGGAAGGCAGGGTGGAGCAGGGACCCCTCAGGGGATGGGCACTGGGGATGTCAGGTAGGCTGAGCTGCCCTCAAGGCTAGTGGGACTTGGGGCAGCGCCACCGCGGTCCTGGCGTCCCTGCGACCCCAAGAGGCTCTGGCCTGGGTGGAACGTGGAGCGGCGCGCGGGCAGCCACGCTCCAAGGTAGTTGCCAGGCGACGCGTCCTCGTGGCCCGGCCTGGCCCGGGTGCGACCCCGCCGGGGGCGCCCGCGGCCCGCAGCCGCCCTCTCCCTGTCCTCCCTCCGCAGGAAGGTCGAGGCCCAGCCGGCGCCCGCTGAGCTGTTGGTGCCGCACCAGGAATCCGCAGGCCAGGACACGTGGATCTTCGAGGAGGACGAGTAAGAGCCCAAGCCACCCTCAGGGACTACCTGCCATTCTGGGCTACGAAGCCCAGCACAGCCAGGAGGGAAGGGTGATCTGCCTCCCTGTCCACGGGAAGCTAAGGCTGCAGACCCTGGGCCGAGGTCACTGAAGGTCTCCCTGTTTCCAGCCCTTCCTGTGGTCCTGGTGCCTTTCATGGGGGCACAAATCTGAGTGATCCTAACGGTGCCTGGCTTCTTAGCAGCCTGCTGCTTTCTGCATCTTTCAGCCCCAGAGTCTGCATGTATATTGCAATGGACTGGGTAGTTTGTTGGTTCTTAAACTACCTGAACTATAAATATTCCCTGAAGACAACACTTTGTAAACCGTTAGCTACTGGCTACTACACTGGCTTTTAATTTTTCTAGTTGTCCAAACCTTAATCCAGTGATTGCATTAACAGATAGCTCTATGTCTAATGTGTTTATCCGAAATACTACCTATGGGGGGGGGGGGATTTTAGATACCAAGTATTTTGGTATTGGAAAATGCCTGGCCCTCTGAGCCTTTTAGTGAAATACACATAGGATTCCCGGCCCGCCTATGTGTAAAAGTCAATTTTGCTTTCAGGTGGGGCACATTTTGTTTTGAATAAGTAAAAGCAGGCTTGGAACCTGTTTTTAAATTTGAGGTAGCTCACTGTATTTGCCTCCTCCCCCAATAGTCTTACATCCTATCTGACATCTGGCTTTCATTTCCTAATATCCTGCCAGCCAGATCTTGCCATTTATTTTTGTCTCCTCAGGGTGTCAGTCTGGCTTGCCATTGTTTCTAAGGTTACATGGGCCCCTTCTCTGCTTTCTAAGCTTTTTAATGGTTGCTACTGCTGCTGAGATTAAAACCCAAGGTCTTTGACATTGAGCTACACTTCTAGCCCTTCTAAGCATTTTTCTTAACAAAACTCAGGCTTCTTTGTACATAAAATGAAAAACCTTCCTCTAAGTGTGCCTGTTCTACAATGTGTAGGACTTCAACGGGACAGAAGAGCAGCTCCAACAAAATGGGAAGGAAAAACGATGAGAACTGTGACACCAACCTGCATGTGTCAAGCGCCCCTCAGGAGGTACAGAGCTGCTCCTGAATTTGAAACTTTGGATGGCAGGGAGAGAGCTCCAGGGTCCTACTGTGCTACTGTGGGGGTAACTCTGCTTTTGCTCTGTGAACAGTTTCTGCTGAGCTTTCGCCTTACTGAATTTTAGTGAACAAAAACAAACAAACCAAAAAAAAAAAAAAAAAAAAAAAAAACCCTGTTTTTAACAAATAGAAACAATCTCATTAAGAAGGTTGGCACCTAGTTATCTATTAGGCAATGCTCTCCTTATTTTCTCCCATGTATTTTTGTTACACATCAGTAATGGTTTTTGGTATACCATACAGCCAAGCCCCAACCCTGGAGAAATTGGCAGGCGGTCTAGTCTTCTTTACCATTTGGCATGTTGGTTGTGTGTATAAACAGCTCTGTTTTCTCAGTGTCTATTCCCCATTTCAACACAAGGACATGTTTTCCCCACGTGTGACATTTCAGATACCACTGTCCCAGGAATACATAGCCCAAAGAAGGGTGAGCACCCACTGGGCTCTTCAAAAATGCCAATAGCTGGTCCTCACCTTTGTCTTTTTAAAGGGAAACTGTATTCTTTATTTGTATGTGTATTTTGCCTGCATGTATGCAGGCAGTGTCTATACAGAAAGAAAAAAAAGGGGGGGGGTCAGATCCTCAGGACTGGGATGACAGACAGTTGTGAGCTGCTAGGAGTTAAATCCAGGTCCTCAGGAAGAGCAGTCAGTCAGTGCTCTTAAACCCTAGTCACCTCACAGTCCCTCATCCTCATCTTCCTCAATTAGAAGCTATAGTGTTTTTTCCCAGTGCTTAAGACCAAATACAAACCTTAGGCATGATACTCAAGTGCTCCAAAACCAAGTCACATCCTCTACCCTCAGTTACTTTTTTGAAAGCCTCCCCTCCTCCCAGGTGATTCTCATAGAGACTGACCTTATTTATACTACTCCAGACAGCAGAAAATCCTTAGAGATGGATAGTCTGCAGCCTCCTTTACACACCCAAGCACCCATCCTACCAGGAGAAACCTCTCTGTGGGTAAATTAAATCTTCACACTGCACTGAGGCATATTTCTTCTCCCACTGCATAGAGATATTGCCTAGTAACACCTAACATTTCATTTGCTTAGCGGTTACCAGAAAAACTTTTTCTCAGCTAAAGTGCTTCATCACTCTTTTCCAGAATGAAGTATTGGAATCACCTTGTATACTCACCCTAGGTTTCTCCCAGAACATCTGCCCAATCGTAGATACTGGCACTTTTCACTTACTTTTGGCTTTCTTTGGAATATTTGCTATGTGTTTCCTAACACCTGGAATCCCGAGTAAGCAGGGAATGTAACACAAGGATGGGTGCTTTCCTGTCAGTGATTGATGGGAGATGCTGCAGGCTGCCAGATCTGGCATTCAGTGCATGATACCTGATGGATGGACCATCACATGCCAGTGAAACACTGACCAGGGTGTTTCATTATAATTTAAAAACCTGTATTGAAACCTGCCTGGCACTATTTTTTTTTTTTTTTTTTTTTTTTTTTTTTTTTACAAAACCAATATTGTAAACGTCTTTCCATTTCCCGCCAAACAAGCTGGTAAGGTTTGTTAAGAGGAGGTCGTATGCTCCTTGGAGATATGCTGACTGCCTTTGCAGAGAAGGCAGAAGGTGCTCTCTGTCAGCATTTACCCAGGGAATATGTAAAGTGGTATATTTGGGCTTTTAAACATCAATACAAACTTTATCCTTTAAAATGAATATTGTTTTAGAATCTCTCTCCGTGGAACTTGAATCCGGAAGAACCCCTTGCCGAAAACGAAAGCCTTTCGCCTGGAAAGGATGGTGCGGCAGGTAGTGAGAAGCCCTGGATGTGTATATTATACCACAAGAATCGCACAGCTTAAAGGATTTCAATTCTTAACCTGTTTTATATAACTATTAATTGACATTTTTATATACATTCTTTCAGGCAAAACTAACAAGGTAAGGATGTTGGCTTAAAGTACCTCATAAAACATATTCCTTGAAAATTGTTTGCATGCTCTTTCAATTTTTTTTCTTTTTCAAGGCGAAATTTGAAATATTATTTCCAGAGAGTTCTTTAAACAAGTCAAGACCTTTGCCATTTTACAGAGTTATAAATTGGTCGTTAATTACTATTTGAATGAGTCTGGTAATACAGGCTTGTAATCCCAGATACTTGGGAGGATGAGGCTCAGAGGGATGTCTATGATATAGTTAGTTCAGGATTTGCTTGAGCAACTTAGTGGCTGAAGATAGAGCTTCGTGGGAAAGTACTTGCTTAGCATGTGTAGTCAAGGCCCTTTTCAACCTCCAGTATCACAAAAGAAAGAAAAATAAGATTTTTACATTAACTTCTCTCAGTCTAACAAAGCTGTAAATTGAGCTTGGCAGTGATAAACAGTTTTCTAGTTGTTTTCAAAAGTAAAGTAACGTGTGGCTTTAAAATGTCTTGAAGCATTCAAAATGCTTAATATCCTCTTTTGTAGTAAAAACAATCTTTCCATGTACCCTTTATATTAACATGTGAAATGTTTAACTGTAAAAGTAATATCAGTGGTATCTAAGTCTCATTAACAGTGCCCAAAACAGCAGAAAGTTGGGAGTACATTGGACTTTACTTAGAATATGAATAGCAAACAGGGTTGTGTTGTATTCAAGTCTCCTGATGCCTTGTAGAACCATCTGGAAGCTCCAGCAGAACAGCTGGTGTTGCAGCTGACTGTACCGGAGCATGCTCACAATAGAACACAGGTGTGATTTCTTCCTCACTCTTCAACTTCTGCTCTTGAAATTCTCCAAGCTTTTAAACATCATGTGTACTTTTTGTATTAGCAGAACAGTAACCAAGGGGTATTTCAGCTATGGAATTCTCCTGTCAATAAGGGAAGTACCATGGATAGCAGGTAAGGCAAATGTCTACATATTGTTTTTTGTTTGTTTGTTTGTTTGTTTTGTTTTGTGTTTTTGTTTTTGAGATAGCGTCTGGTCTTGCTGTGTAGGCTTGGCAGCCCTTGAACTCAGAGGTCTTCCAAGTGCTGGGATTAAAGGCATGTGCCACCAAACCCAGCAGGAATTCCACTGAAATAAATTTAAATATACCTATTAACTACTTGAGATACAAAGATCAAACACAACCAGGAAAAAAGGTATCCTATGCAAATAATAGGCAGTTATAGAAATTCACTCTAAAATAGCAAGTGGCTACAGACAACACAAAACAGCCAGTGTATTCGTACTGAACCTTTACAGTGAGGCTTAGATGGATTGAGCTGGGCTTCTTATTGGAGGGAAAAGAAATGTGGCACAAAAATAGAATTCTCTATGCCAGGAACTATTAATTCCATCCATACAAACTCATCTAACTCTCTTACAAGTTGACTCTCTTACAAGGTAGATTGCTGCCGGCATTTCTCTTTTACAGAACCCTGGGGTAGGGTGAGAATTAAGATGCTTGCCAGAGTCACACATTAGTGGTCGTAGAGCAGGATGTGGACACAGCTGAATGCAAGTTCACAGTCATGACAGTATCCTGTCAGACCTTGGCTGGGTTTGAATGCTGGTTTTCATGTTCATTTTATTCTGTGTTAGCAGCCAGACTGCAATTCAGATTAGTAATGCGTGATTAAGACCTTTCACTGGGCACTGCCTTATGTCACTTTACACATGGAGTATTCCTCATTAATGGCCATCTTGAGTTCTTCTCTTTAATACAAGTATAACAATAGAGTGATTCACCAGGGAACAAGTATCATTCCCTGGTCAGAACACTTCCTGAATGAACCCCAGAGTAGAGCCTTATGTTTAAGCTCCAGGAGGCAACCAGGATGACAGGGAATTGTAGTCCTAATGGAGTGGCAGTGCTGAAGGAGATAGAAAAGCTTACTTTCACCAGAAAGAACTCTGCTAGGAACAAGAATTTCAGGATAGAGGTCAAATGAAGGTCACTGCATCTTAACAGAGCAAGTACCACCACATGTGGCAACATGGTACAATGGTTAAGACTTGGCATGCAGTACCACCACTCACAGGGGTGTGACTTTGCCACTCTCCACCAGTGAAATTAAAGAGACTCGTTTGGGGGTGTGGTGAGGAGTAACCAGCAGGACTGGGTTTGGTACCCAGGTTTTAGATACTGTGTAGCCTTTCATTGTAGAGATAGGAGTTTGGTGTCATGAAGTATTTTAGTAGTTTTCTCTTCAGCATAGCAACAGGCAAAGACAGTGAGTGACAAGTAACAATAACTTAACCTTTAGTTTGTAGCAGTGTTTAACGTTCAGCCTTAAGAAAGTCTTGCTTCTCAGAGAAGCCCTGAGATGGGCTTGGAGAAGATGCCCCCTCCATGCTGCTTTCTCTAGTGCTGAAGGCTTCCCCTTCTGATGTTCCTCTCTCATTACTGTACTTGCTTGGGCTCCTATCTGTTAATATTTGCAGATTGCAAATGATTTTCCGGTTGGTGTTTCAAAGGCAAGGTGGCATTCCCAGTACTTAGCTAACTGACCATTTTATCACTTTGGCTACAATGAAAGTATTTTTTAAAGACTTAGATTGTTATTTTTATTAAATGTTGAACCTAAAAGAACCAAGAAGCCTTTGAGACTACATACCAAGTAGGTGCATCAACGTTTTCAATGTTAGTATTTCTAATTATTCCCCTACCCAGTGTGTGTGTGTGTGTGTGTGTGTGTGTGTGTGTGTGTGTGTGTCACTGCTGTTCAGGCTAGAGTCAAATGCTTAGGCTCAAGCTCTCTCAATGCCTGAATTTCCCAAGTAACTAAGTCTACAGGTGGGCATTGCTGCTACCTACTCTCTAGCTGTCTTTAAAATAAGCAAATATACAAATGACAAGACAAAATCTAACTAGAAACCCAATGTCCTAATGTCTGGCTCCCCCAACCCATTTTTCTGTATTACTTTCCCAGTATTATTTCAATATAATTCCTAGCAATATTAATCCTAAGAGGGCATCATAAGAAGAAAGTTACCAGGGGCTATGTCTAGAATGAATTTTATTTGACAAATACTGTTGATTTCATTGTTTGCTAAAATATTTTTTAAGTGTTTAACATAGAAGTCTTTGTCATAAGTTAGGTTATATACATTCTTTAAAAGTTTCATCTGCTTTGAGGTCACTAAGTGTTTTACTGTCATTTCAGAGCTACTCAAAGCTACAGGCATTCTCTGGTATCCTATTAATAAATACTTAGCCATTTTAAGTGAATACATAGAACAACAGTTAACCATCTTAAGAAATCATCATGGGCTTAATTGTGCTTGCCTATCAGGTTTTTGTTTGTTTGTTTTTTATGTATACCTTAAGACATTTACATCTAATTCAATTATACTTGGAAACTAACATTTTAGAGGTAGCTGCATACATGAATGCTGTTGGGAACTAAACATTAACCTATCTTTGATAAAGGTTACTAATATTTGAGAAGTTTCTGTACCCTATAAGCCCCACCGATGAAGTAATCCAAATCAAACCAAATCAAACTGAATTAGAAAAAGCCCATGTTTGATGGATATAACACTTCTGGATAGCCTTCCAGCCCCCCCCCCAGGAGATGGGAAAGACAGACCAGATAACCACGAATATATTTATCTATTTTCTGGGGGGGCAGTTTAAATACCCTGTGGGAGTGCTTCGGAGCATCATCATTTGGCGGGCTTTCCGAGATGCAGCAGAGTTTAGGGGGAAATATGGGAAGGGGGCTTGGGTGGAACTTCCACCAGAACAATATTCTTTTTAGAGATTTTTTTTAAACATATGTATGTGTGCCTGCATGTATGGATGTGTGTCATATGACTGCCTGGTGTCCATGAAGGTAAGTAGAGATCACTGGATCCACTGGAACTAGAATTATCAATGGTTATGAGCCACCATATAGGAGCTGGGAAATGAGAACCCAGGTCCTCTCCAAGAGCAAGTGCTCTGGATTGCTGAGTCACCTCTCTAGCCTCATCATTTAATAGTATTTTAATTCTAGTCAACAAGCCTCTAGTTAATTCTTTTATTTTTTTTAAGGGAATTCAAAAAATCTTCAGTGGAAACTGGTTTCAATGTACCCAACGGTCCCAGGCTCTTCACTCTAAACCACTCATTAACAAGCATTCCGGGTTTGACAGACATCAAGCAAACAAGTCCTTATCCTGGACAGTTGATGCCAGCAGGTCTCTGCTGGCCCTATGCTGATGGAGACTTTCTTAAGGACAGAAATGAGAACTGGAATTTCAAATACAGAGACGGCAGTGTGGAAGACAATGTCACAGATGAGAGTGACTTATCAGAAAATGAGAAAATGAATGACTCCTTGCTCAGCTATTTTAAAAAGATGGACCTGAACTTAAAGCCAGAAACAATAGAACACATGGAGAGGTCTTTCACAGAGGAAGCAAATGGAGTGTCTGTATATGCTGATTTTCTCCCTGCTCCTTTCAACACTTTGGACTTGCACAGATTTGCCCTCTCAAAATGTGAAACATGGAAGGCAGTAGTGGACCCTCCAGAAAGCTCCATTGAGCGGTTAATAATTCGTTTATTGGAACTGGAAAGATTACAACATATGACCATACAGAGAGAGAAGCCAAGGCTACAAAGCACTTTCTCAGTGTTTTCAATGGCAGAACGACCTTCTTCCTCCAAAGCCATTGCACTAAAAGCCAGGCCACCAAAGCTTCCTGACACATTGCCTCTGCAAACCTCTAGTGTAGACAAGAGTAGAGACAAGAGAAAAAATTGCAGTTCTGGCAAGCCAGAACAAAAATGGAATTGCAGTAGTTCTGGCAAATGTAAGTCGAACTCTAGACCATCGCCAAAATGTCCATCCACTGCAAAACAGAGCGTTGCGGCTCATGACGACTTTAAGAATTCCAAAAGCTCCATTTTAAACCCGTGCCAGGAACTCCCACCCAAACCTACTACAACCCAAGCAACTCAACCACTGGCTAAAGTGGTCTCAACAAAATGTCTTCCACCAAGGTCCCCTGTGCCGGTTTCTCCCATACCCCTGTCTTTTCCTGAAACTCCAAAGGAAGAAACTAAGGCACCAAGGACCAAAAAGAAACTTCACCGAAAAAGCATACTACTGAATAGACCTTTCTACATCCAGAAGCAAAACCGCTTATCACCTTCACTTATAGCCAGGGGCAAGTGCTCACCCACTGACCAAAAATAGCTTCCATACACCTCAGTGTGAGAAAATCTATTCCGTAAAACCCAGCAAAAATATGGTTTATCATTGAGAAACAGGTATTAGAAACAAAAACCACCTCACCCTTACACAACATGATATGGGGTCGAACTCATGACGTCACTGCTGTGTCTATATGCAGCCAAAGGCTTCCTCACTGACATATTTGACAGTTCTTTGTATCTTGTACTTCAAAGAAATGTCTCATTTAGTAAAGCAAATTATTCAGACGACTTTTTTTTGTGATTGTTTTCCAGTATGATTCCATCATCAATAAATGGTACATGTTGACTTACTCTGTTGCAGTTATTGCTTGCTCTAAAATACAGTCAGGTAAGAGTTGCAGTTTCCTGAAGTGATTTTCTTAGTCCTTCCTGTAAGTGTTACAGCTCTGAAGGTCAAGAGATCCTGGCAGTTGGGGCTGAGGAATACCACAGTCACACCACACAACAGACCCCACACAAGAAATTTATTGGGGAAGACACAGCAGGATGGCTGCTCAAGAGAGAAGCAGCCCAGGCCTGGGCAGGAGGTGTGCTTTGTGTAGGGTTTCTTGGGGGAGGAGCTTCCCAGGATGTCCTGGGATTGATGGAATTTGGGATTGGTGGAATTTTGTAGCCCAGTCTTGGGCTTTTTACTCAAGAGGCTGTGTCCAACCATTATGGCCCAGAGAATGTTCTGTGGGTGCTGCCTGGTGGTTTAATAAGGATCGGGAGAAAAAATAGGCCAAATATATGTTTATTCAGGGAGAAATAAATAACTTAAAACATAGGCAGATGAACACCAGCAGATTCCTGGTCCCAAGGATGCTTCCGGATGCTCCCCTGTCCCCATGCTGCATGCAAGAGAGCACTCCCTAGTTCCTCCTCAGACCTAGTTCCCCCAGGTAACTTCCATCCCTGACTCCACCCACAAAGGGCAAGGTCAGTGCCACAGATGTGGACAAAGTGAATATCCCACTACAGGAGGCCCTCAGGGGCAGAGTCTTGCCACTTAAGCATCTCAAGTGGCTTCCATTTCCCACTTTTTTTTTTTTTTTAAATTACTGTTGATAAACAATCGGGTCCTGAAAGGGGGTAACATCATTAGACTACTTCCTGTTGACTGGGGACACTACAGACTTTGGGGCAAGCTTGATCTTCACAATGTCAGTGAATTGCAGGCCTCTGGCTCCATAGCTAGGGGCCAGAAATCCTATACCAGCAACTAATTAAAAGTCTGATTAGAAATTTTTTAGATCTGCTGTTGAAGAAATTTAGAGAGGTTTGTAAGGCAGAGTACAACTAGTAGGATTAAGAAAAGGAGGAGATGGGGAGTTTAGTAGTAGTATCCAATTCCATATTGGCTTGTCAGTGATCCACTGGCCAGAGGCATCAGGCTGTTTCTTACATTTTTGGAGATCTATCTGGAGTTGCTGGATCTTATCTTTTACTATACCTGACAGGCTGACAGAGAAGCAACATTGTTCCCTGAGGAAGAGACAAAGACCACCTCTCTATGCTATTAGTATATCTAATCCTTGCCAATTTTGTAGTACTGTGTCAGCCAGTGTGTCTATCTGGGCCTGGAGGGTAAGGATGGTCTGAGCCACCAATTGGAGATCCTGGATAAACTTAGAGGAAAAGTGGTGGTGAACAGCTAGGGAAGAAGTCAGTCCCACAGTGGTGACACCAGTGGCTAGACCCAGGACTGCTAGAGAGGGTAGGACTTGAATCACTGGTTTGTCATGATGTGCCACTACAACCCTGTGATGGGAATCTTCATTGGATACCATCCCTAGTTTTGGAAAAAAGAAACACCAGGGCACAAGTCCCAGACCACCCAGGAGGTAGACAATGGTAAACTTGAGTACTGCAGAGAATAGAAGCATTGTGAGTAATTGGGCATAGGGCCTGTGTGGCAGAATAATAAGGGTTAAGGAATGATTGTGGCCTACAGAATCCAGTGTGCCCACAAAGCATGTTCCTGAGGAGTTAAAGCTGTCTGTGATACCAGAGAGAGATGGGAGAGACAACAGGTAGTAGTGGTATTTGGCTCAGAGCAGTTGAGTGAGACCATAAATGATGGTTTGAGTTTGATCTGGGAGGGACACACAACCAGCATTCTCCAATGTGGTTAGTGTTATTCAGTAGCTGTTATGCTATGCACAGGTTAAGTCCTGTGGAGGAGCGAGCTTTAGGGCAGATGTTGGATTGGTGTCATCTAAGAGGGGAGACTTTAGGGAGGTTAAGAACCTTTGATGAAATGTTGGGCCACAGTTTCTATCTTTTTTTGTAACTAGATGCTGAGAGTGAGGTGTACACTCTTTATTTGGTGTCCAGTGGGTGCCTGCTTTACAGGTCATAATACAGTTTGTCAGTGTCCCAGCTATCTTGAATATAGAGTTGGAAGGATCCTTCCTGTGTAAAGATGAGAGGGGGTGATTAGGGTGGCTTTATGTAGGGTTTCTTGAGGGCAATGCTTTCCAGGGTGACCTGGGATTGGTGGGATTTCAGGCTGCACATGGCTGACTGCATCTGCAGCTGAGAGTAGGTGTGTCGATATGCTGGACCACAAAGTCTGTGAAGATCTGGCACACTGACAGCAAAGTAACTTCTATCATTACTACTGTGTGTGTGTGTGCATGTGTTGGAATCCTCATGTGGAGTCAGGAGTTTCCAGTTCTCTCCTTCAAATATGAGTTCCAGGGATCAAACTTCAGACATCAGGTCATCTCAGCCCCAAATAGCAGCTCTGCAGAGTCAAACAAATGCTGCAAGGCTAGAATGACAGGTTTGTGGGGATGAGGAAGCAAAGGGGAAGGTGCTGAGGCCCCTCCAGGGAGACCTCCAACTGCCAGGCCTCACCCCCAAGAATAGTCACCCCTGCAAATAGTCACTCATACAAGGTACACATCCCTCTTCAGATCTAAAGATAAAAAATACCTTCATGGCTATCTACCTGAAGTGACTACAGAGCTTCAATCCCCTGCCAGCCCAAGGAGAAAATTACAACAGGGACTCATACAAAACCTTTCAGGAGCCTCTGCTACTGGACCTGTTCATTATTGAGACCCAATCAGGCTAGCTTCAGCTCTGCCTGACACTTAGCTAACCCAGCTAAGATCAACAGGCACTTCTGCAACTTCCAATCCTGTTTTGCATGTGCACTTATTTGTCCCTTGTTTTTAAAAGCTGTAAACATTTCCTTAACTGAGAGGGCAGAATTGAGGCGTAAGAGAGGCCAATAGGTCTAGCTTTCACACTGCAATGAGCCAAGGGATGAAACTCACAAAGAGAAAATCAGAGAAGGAACATGAATACAACACTCTGTATTCTGCACCCTACTCTGAAAACATTTTGACATTTGTGAATAAAATCAATAGCCTATTTCTCAAGCGTACAAGTTTTACGTTAGACATTTCCCTCTATACCTTCCCATCATTGTGACTCATGGGGCACATTTAAGTCTTCTTTGTGTATATGGTTCATGTGTGCACACACATATGTGAAGACCAAGTCTGTCTGATACTGGGTGTCTTCCTATATCACTCTTTTATTTCCAAGACAGTGTCTGATTCTTTAAGACAGTCAAGTTCAGAGTAGCCCTGGACTTGCCCTCCTAGCCCTGGGTTAGACACAAACCACAGTGTCCAGCTTTTATATGGGTGCTGGGAATGTGAACCCAGGTCCTCTTGCTCGCAAGGCAAACACTTTACTGACTCAGCCATTTCCCTGAATTCCTCTTCTGAGAATTCGTTAGGTAAAGATTTGTTAGGTAAAGATTCCCTTTACGTAATACTTTAATGAACAAGTCCCTAGTCATATTTGAGCAGAGGTTCTTTTCAAAACACGTATGTCACTAGTGAAACATGAGCTCAGAAATATCAGGTAAGAAATATTGTCTATAAAGAAAACACCAGTAGACAATATGGTAGCAAGAGGCATATTTTATTAAGCTTCCTATAAGTTGCTGGGGATCATTTGCTGCTACAGGGCAAGTTACAACTCAAATGGTATCAGGAACAATTAGGATACAAATCAAGCATTTTCTGAGAGCAGCTTCTGTATCTTGATCACTAAATGGAATGGTTCTTCAGAAGAACAGTCCCTTACCCTATATATACAGAAGAAGAGAAAGTAAGGATGCCACAGTATTTCTCAATGTAACCAACAAACAAAACATATTTCATAGTCAACTTTGTATATAGCATTGACATGTAAATCACAAATGAATTTGCAGTGAACATTTGTATAAGAACATTGCATGTAGACTAAATTCATGTTGAATATATCAATACTAAAAAAAAAATTAGAGTCCAACTGCTAATGGTGTCACAAAAGGAAATATACTACACAATCACATCTCACTATATAATCTCACCCCCCAAATAAAAACTTATTCCTTAAATGTTTAACCTGAATTTTAATATATGTTAATTCCTTTGTTTCATTTCAGAGTCTATTTCTATGTATGCAGATAGAGTAGATTAGGAGAAATGCAAACCTGGAGCCAAAATGAGAATACTACATTTCACTAAATCTGCTACACACAATAAAATATGTATTTTCTATTCCAAAGTGTCCTGAGTATTTATTTAGTTTCATTAGGAAAAAAGGTTTAATTGCAATGGCAAGATATAAATCACATTATTACTAAACAAAATAGCTGAGCAAGTAGCCACAGGGAATGAAGGAACACAAAGCTGCTAATCAGGACTTCAGTGTAAAGACAAATACTGGGAGTTGCTGTTTATAACAATATGCAGCTCCTGTTCAGAACGCCAAACTCCCTCATTTCTGATGGTCCCTGAGAACAAAGTCTGCCAAGAGACCTCACATCTATAATGGATGCTTCCTGACTATCTTTCCCTCTTCTAACCTTACATGATCACATGCCTAAGATCTTCAAGGTGTGTGCATGCACTGCCCAGAATAATGGTTTTAATGTTAAAAGATCTTTGGATTAACAGCCCATGTACATAATGATTACATGAATATCCATGTATCTTGGAATTCTTTATTTCCTAAAAAGAACAAAACTTGGCTTTAAAATTTTTCAAAAACAGAGTATTTTTATGAACCTCAAATCTAATAATCACTTGTCATTTTTTTTTTCCTGTAAAGTATGAAAGCCTAAAGTTCATGATAATCTCATGAGAAAACTATACAGCTATTCAGAAACATGAACACAAGTTTGTTTAAGTAAGATCACTCACTAAATGACCTCAACCTAATAGAGGTCCTATACAATTGCACCTCAAGCAAACTTGCACCTCAGCAAAGTTACGACATCAAGTAGAATGAAGTGTATATC